ATACTTAAAAGAACAAGGGTACACTACATTTCCCACGACGCAAGTAAGAAGACTAAGATTGGTACAAATGAAGATTTATTCAACCCAAAATACAATAACCGTAGTTGAAAATACACTCATTTATCTATTGATTGTACACCCCTTTTGATCATTAATTAGGATAAAATCACTTATATGAAAAATATCCATAGTTATAACAAATCAAATGCTGCTTGTTATACTGAACACAGTTCATGTTAATTGAATATAAGAATATCGTATGTTATGCAGAATAAAATGTATTACGGGAGAATAGTAATAAATACTACATTGCGTAATCATCACACTAATATAAAACGGAATTAATGTTGAATAAAAATCATAATGAACCAAAAAACATAATCTCGCTTTTTAATCCCTTCATATTATATATAACCAATTGTTTACAACTTAAATATTTCACCCATTTGCCACTACAATTTTTTTCTGCTTAGAAATTTTAATAACATTGAAAATAGCTGGGGGATTGCTTGTGTAGTAGTTCTCTTATATAATTAAACTGTCTGGGGTTTATTATCTCTAAATTGTTATAGAAACAAACAAAACTATACAGTTTATTAACAAACTAGTAGGATTTTATAGACAAAATTGTTTTTTGTAAAATACAGTCTGTGATTTAAACAAGTTGCATAATAGAAGGCCGAATAATTTAAATCATCATGCCACAGACAGTGAGATTCAGATACATCGAAATTTTTCTTTAAAAAAAAAAAGAACGAATCAATAAATCACCAATAGATTTATGTTCAATACAGAAATATTCCAGACATTTAAGACACCTAGTTCTTTTCTGTGGCTATGATAAGTATGTCAGGCAATTCAGAATTCTAGTTTTTTTTTCTGTAAATACAATGCGTTGTCATGGTAAAATATTGGTGGAAACAGGTTAGAACTAAGTGTGTCTTTCACATAAAATTCTAAATAACTTTTGTTTATTTTTAAAACAATATTTTCTCGAAGCTTAAATGCATCTACCCATCTATCTACCATTAAATTCACTTAATTATCTGCTTCAGTTGACATATATTTTATTCAGTCGAGTAGAGTAAAATCGATATATTCAGTAATTCTAAGGACTAACAATTAAGCAGAGTGTATTCAAGTCATCAGTGAAATATAACTATGCGTCATAAAATTTGGTTCTGTTATTGGTCGTATCAAAGTTTCGATATTCAAACTCAAGAGTTTTCGTGAAAATCCTATAGCAAAAGAGTATTTAACAGCTTATTTAACATAAATATGAAGAATAAAGACTGTCAAATTAGATTCTATTTAATTATCTGAAAAATAACTTTCTTCAAATTATTCAATATTATTTTAATGTAAACTGTTAGTTATATTTTCTTCATGCATATGCTTTAATCATATATGAATATCCATGATCTGTTGTAAGAAATCTTATTGCTTTTAGAACTCATTATGTCACAAGTTGTTTTTTTTAATATGGGAAGAAAATCTATTCAATATAAACAGTCTGTTGAGTGAATACATTTCTGTTATAACGGTTGGGTTTCCACGTTTACACGTATGGGACGTGAATTTACCTTAAACGATTATCTTCACTAGATTCCCTCCCAGTGTCTATTCTACAGAACTTCAACACAACTCAGATCAAGAACACGTGATTAGCCTAACTACAACGTAAATATATTTCCACACCAAAACTCGACACAATCCAACAACAATGAACAATCAATGATAAGTGAGTCGTAATAATAATAATAATAATAATAATAATAATAATAAGGATAGGGGATACAATTCATCTGACACCTGTCAGACTATCGACATATCTAACTGAGCAGACAACCAATCATTATCGTTCTCGCCAACACATCAATTTCAAATTCATGTACACTCTTATTTATGCTAACTTACATATGGGTTAGATTAAAGATATGAATTTATCATTCCTCCTTTTTTTATCTACCTCACAAATAAGACCAGTTTTGCACTAAGTTGCATCTTTTTTCAAAGCTTAACAGTTTGAACATAGACAAACATTTAGTTTATTTTCGGATCAACATCAAGGAAATTATTCTGAAGAGCCCAATACTTCAATTAAACACTATTTCTCACTAAGTCAGTGGATTTACATAAATAAACAGTAAATCTATGCTTAACTTCATGGTTTTAATTAAAATAACTCAAAAAGTTTTCTCTGAAGCGAAAATGGGACCTACTTGCATACTTATTTACGCCTGTTAACCCTCATGGAGGAGCATAGGCCGCCTACCAGCATTCTTCATTCAACTCTGTCCTGGACAATCCTTTCAAGTTATTTCCAGTTACTATTCAGCCTTTTCAATGTCTGCTTTCGACTGCCGGCACAGTGTGTTATTTGGTCACATTCTTTTCCGTTTCCCTTCATGATTTCAAGTTAGCTCTTGCTTCGTGATGCAGTCTGGTGATTTTCACGTTTTTCCTTTCCATCTCCATCGTCTTTTCCTGATTTGTTCTCTGACACATCCGCCTGTAGCTCTCTTGGGGTTGCTACCAGTCCCAAAACCGGGTGAAGGAGGTGGGTTGGGTATGGCGCCAGCAACCCCATCCCGTAGAAAATAACTTTACTAAGAAACACTAACCAAAATGAGTAACTAATTTAGAATAGTTTGCATGTTTACTAGTCTGACTCATTATTTCTCAGAAAAACAAGTTTGAAATACAGTTCTAAACGACCTCGCCAACTTAACAAGCGTACTAGTTATTATTTTCCACTTGCGATGTACCGATGACCTTTTTAACTTTGAAAAAATTTTATCCACATCCATTAAATTTGAAGTGAACTGAAGTTTAAAGTTAAACTGTATATTGCTAAACTGGTCAATTGCATTAGGATGAGTTATTCTGATTTCTATTTTAAGTAACCTTGAATGATTTTACAGAATGCAGGACATCTAAAGCCTGAACTGAATATTAATCCTAGAACCTAAGATCAGTATTCATTTAGGTCATGACCTTTATTTATTTGATCGATAAAAGTGAACTCTTGTGACTTTTCATTGGTGGCTTAAAACCCGGATTAAATTAGTCAGGACTAGTCTGAAAACGATTAAACAATAAAACTGATTCCAGTAATTGTGATTACTGGAAAAGTGGAGTGCTATCTAATATATAAGTGACACAATGAGTTCCTGATGTTAGTTGTTGTTTTCAATTACAATTTGACCACATACTCAGATTAAATCACACAAAATGAAGAAGGGCTGCAATGACAGAAACAATAAAACGGTAGGCATTTTAAACCAAAACCTTTAGTAAGATAATGTTACATGAATACACAAAACTGAGAGTTCAGAATTAGCCTTTTAATTAAGAGGAAATAATAACGTATATTCCATAATAATTAAATTCTTTATTCGCACTTCATTAGAAATTGTTTTTTGATGATCTTTCTATAGAACCATTCATTTTGTAATGTAAGCAAAAAAAAGATTAACTCAATGAAAAGCAACAAAAATCTAGGTAATTACAACAGATTTAAGATTTCCAAAAAATAGACAACTATCACTGTCATTCTGTGTGCAGAACATACATACAAAACTTGTTAGTCTCTGTATCTTAAATTTATATGTTGTACGTTCTTCACTAGGTATAATTCAACTAAACTACGTACTTTTATACAGACTGTTGGGATAAATGTCACTTTCAGACTTAGCATTAAAATCTTATGCTTTTTAGATTATTTTGTACACATGGGTTGGTAATTTAACTTTACTATGATATAATGAGACTGTAAGATAAGTGCTGATACGGTTAGTGGCATTCCTAAGCATCATTGGTTGTTTTGTGATCTCTCTCTTCATTCCGACTGACAATTTTGACTGGATATTTATTTATATTAGTGATACATTTAATTTCAGAGTATGTTCAACCAGTTAGTTGGTCAGTAGTTCTCTTAAAAAACGAACAGTTTGACCAATCCAATCAGTTCATGACTTTATCGATCCCGCGGGGTGGAATCGTGGATGCGCACTAGTGAGGAGTCCCATACTAAGACGAAACTGCCACCCAATGCTTCCAGGTATTCCATGGTGATCTAGCTTCGATTGACTCATGAATTCCACAAAACCCTCTTCTGAAAATTTAATTATTGATGATAAGTGAAAAATGTTACTGATGTTTTGCTGTTGTGCAAAGTTAGACAAGATGAATGACGTAAGATATAAATGTAAAACCGCAGTGCTTGGTCCTTGGATATAAGATAATGTTAAAGATGTAATTTTCATGGTTGGGTGTTCTCACTATTTAAAACAAAAAAAAACACAGTCACCCACATTTATCTTGTATTACTAAGATTTATTCAACTTAAGAAGTAACTTACATTACAGTGTACTTCAGTGTCAACGGAGTATTCTAATTAAGTTACCAAACTTTATATTCTGTCTTAATTTTTTCGGATACCTATTGGTTTAATTTGTACAACATGCTAGATTTTTTAATGGTCATCTTATACACTTTAACGCTGCTGTAATTTATCCAATGCATCACCAGCGTTCCTATCTAAACTAGCTGAGGAGTCCCACAATAGGATTAAACGACCGTCCAGTGCTTCCAGGTTTTCCATGGTGGTATAGCTTCAATTGAGTCATGATCTTAACCATTGAAATTACTACAATCTCCACAAAACCCCTTCTGATAAACTAGTTATATCCGAATTGAATTATATATGACACTTTTCGAGCTTTGTCTTTTCTCTCTTGCTTTATTGTCATCTGTTATAAGTCTATGGTGGTCTATTGGGCTCAAGATATTAATATACTCGCTTTCATCTCGAGTATCAGTTATTACTGACATAAGTACTCATATACAAATGTCAAAATCTAAGAAAAGCCATCATTTGACAACGCTCTAAAGCTAATGTTTTGAGAATTCGAATAATTATAATAGTTCACCGTTTATAATAACGCGTTCGTTTTATTACATTAGACAACTATTCGTAGGATTTCAAAATGCAATTTGATTATGTCAACCAACTTATGTATTATGAACAGTAGCCAAAGTGAAATGTATAACTAATACATTACAATTTTTAGAATAAAATACATTGATGTTAAACTACTAATTAAACATCTAAGCAATAAAAGGGTACATGAAAGGTGTAAGGAAAGTAGGCAAAAAATGAGTAGAGCAAGGGAGTTGTAGTATATACTGATTTGTCTAAAAAGAGACATTGTTTTTTAAAGGAATATTATAGTCCTTTTTCAATTTCAATCATTTTAGCAACACCTTCTGCCATTTCATGAGCTGCTTGTAATTCAGTTAGACCAAGACGGCGCTTATTGCTAATATCATATGTACCATCAGGGGACTCTGTATGTTCACCATAGAGACCTTAGAACGTGGAAAAAAAAACAGAATATCTCAGTAATATGGAATGATATTAAGAAATTTCAAACAAGGTGATACACTTCACAGATTAACCTTATTTGGGATACTTTTGAAAACTATGGAGCAGTGGACGGTTGTGAAAGATATGAGGTAAGTCACTAAAATAAACAATTCATTAACTGTTTACACGTTTATACACTAGGCTATGAATACAAAACTCTAGTATTGATTGGAACCCGAATTTTTCATTGAAATATATCTTTTAGAATTATAATTTACGTTTATCCATTTCCTGTGTCATAGAAACTGACCAGCAGTGAGAATAATAATAACATAACAGTTAAATTTTAAGAAGTGGTTATATGATATCAGGTAGAATGAACTGTAAGCAAGTTTACCGGTTTCATTGTTTCAAATACGTTAAGCTTGAAACTGTTAATGGGGGAAAATACAAGTCTAGATCAATTCAAACATTGTCTTTAACCATTCATTAACAAATATATTTAAATTATATTGAGCTACTACAGTTGTTCCTTTAATCTACAAAAATTCGAAAGTACAAAAGATTAAAATATTACCATGGATTATATTCGGCTATCAGTTTATATACTTGACACTTTAAATATGAATCTTATTTACATTTAATAATTAAAGAGCTTTTTTATTAAGAAAAATGTACTCCGAAAAGATAAAGAATCTGATGTGTGGGCGAGAATGATAATGATTGGTTGTTTGCTTATTCAGATATGTAGATATTCTGACAGGTGTCAGATGAGTTGTATCCCCTAGCCTTAAAAATATTATCACTGTTCATTGTTGTTGGATTGTGTCGAGTTTTGGTGTGGAAATATATTTACGTTGTAGTTAGGCTAATCACGTGTTCTTGATCTGAGTTGTGTTGAAGTTCTGTAGAATAGACACTGGGAGGGAATCTAGTGAAAATAATCGTTTAAGGTAAATTCACGTCCCATACGTGTAAACGTGGAAACCCAACCGTTATAACATTAGACGAAGTAAAATTGAGCGTTATAACAATTGGCGACGGAGTGAAAAACAAGGAACCAAGGGTACAAACCACGAGTTATAACAGAATCATGCTTTGCTTTCTAATATTAAACGCTAATAAACAAAAAACAATAATGAATACCTGACTCTGAAAAATAACAGGAAATATAAACATTTTCTCCAGTGTGTTTTAGTGATAAAAAGTGCTAGATATACATTTTTAAATTGCTGAATACGAAAGAAGATATTTGTTTTCATTGAAATGTACTTAATATGTAACCAAACAATACAAATCTCTGTGATGCGTAACATTGGTTTTCATGATTCAATAATAGATTCAGAAAGTTGATTCCATTTTCTAGGCATCAGTAATGCTTAAGTTCAAAATTTATAAAAATATAGGCTATATACAGCGTTCGGTTGTTATCTACAGTGCACAACTAATGCTTCGTGCATTTTTAAGAACTAGGTTATAAAATATGTACCTAGTTGTAAACTATTTGTGTGCCTGTTTAAACAATACCCTATAAGTCACCCGTCATAATCACGCAGTTTGAGTTTAAGACAAAAGATAATGCAAAAGAAGATATTGCGTGTAAAACATTTAACAAATTTACCTCTAGCTTGAAGCATATACTTTGCACAAATTTCATCCAGTTTTTTCGGTTGAGAACTAAGTTTTGGTATCTTTAATAATACACTGGCACGCATTGATGTACCTAAGTTGGATGGACAGCAAGTTATGTAACCATATTTATCACTGTGTGCAAACTTCATACTCTTTCCGATAGCATTAATTCCCTGTTATGAATTAAATAAAGTAAAACTATTAGAAATTTATTACTACGAATAATAGTGTAGGTATAAATAAACTTCTTTTGATAAAAAAATTGACTTATCTTAGGATACTAAGATCTTTTAGTGCAACTCGGTAATTTAGTTGATCGAAAAAACTCGAACCAGATACGATGATTGTAAATCTTAATGGCAGTCAGTGTATGGATTCATTGACCAGTGATTAACCTGTTTTATTAAAATAAGTTATAAAATTTACCTGCATATTTTCAGTTTATGAACATCTCTCCTACTTCCTCTGACTATCAGATTTGTGGAGCAGACTAAATTTAAAGAAATCAACTAATTAACCGACTGTTGCACTTAATGACTGAATACTAAAACTAACAAGTCATAACTTTATCAAATATGAGAAATAAATTAGGCTTTTAAGAAACATATCTGATTGCTCTAAGAATTGTCAAGAATCACAGAGATTCTGAGACAAAACCAATTCATTATACTTCTTCCTCCTTATCTGAATGATCGATCGCTAAATTTATTAAAAATCTTAGAATTCGCGTAAGGTCACTTGTAGACCTGTAAATGGCCATTATTTCCTGTGTATAAACGAACTCCAGAATTATAAAGCTTGTTTCATTATTCGAGGTTCAAGTGTCGAAGAATCCTATCACAAACGTATCAACTTGATTACAATATGTAACCAGCAAAAGTGTATTGTAACAGCGATAGAAACAATGATTAATATTACCAGAAGCTTCTTAACTGAATACTCATTCTAAACTTTTTTTCTTCAACAGTGAATCATTTTGCTTGGATTACTATAACTATTGACACAGTTATGTTTTCGTAGCTTTTTCGTATCAGCGGGGTTCATTTACACCTTGAAAACCATTACAATCATTAGAACAGACATTAAAAGAGAAAAATGTAAGAATGTATCTTGGGACTATTGTGTTTACTATATTTATGTTGTGGAAGTAATTACTGGTATGATATATCTGGGTCACGGCTATAAATCCTGACCCAGTGTGATATAAACTGGGCTGTACAAGAATAAATATGGGTCAAAACATAGTAGATCTAGTGATCCGTAAAAAGCGAGATAAATTTTCACCTTTACTCGAAAACGTTTATGTACTTCTATTGGTTATCCACTCACTTCAATTAAGCGCTTATAAACAGCAGCTAAATCTCCGCCTTGTTGCATTGATATAATTCGCATGTGATCTTCTTCGCAAACCCATACAAGGAAAGTCTTTGAATTGTTATGGAAGATTCCACGTCCAACAGGCCAATCACGATATCCACCGGCATCACGTAAGACACTAAACAGAAGAACGGTAGAAATATACATATGGATATGTATACATTTTTTCACTAGATTCAATGGCCAAAATTCATTAAAATTAAATTACAACCAATTGTTTCTGGGATTAACCAATCTTTTATTAAATATACTCTACTTAGAGGATTCGCTTATGTAAGACGAATATCTTAAATGTATCTTTACGACTAATGACAATCTTAAATTGTTTACCTACAAAATGAAGCTTTAACGACAGTTTTTAACATCTACATTCATCGTAACACAAGTGTACTCACCTTATAAAATAACTTTATAATCTACTAACGTTCACGAAGACACCCATCCTAAGTAATACTAAAAGAAACTCAAACTTCCATTTTAGTTGATATTGTTTCTTCTTTTTGTTTATTATCTCATTATCTCCGTCCCTTTATACTGTGAGATCGGATCCGTAAAAATTCATCTTAGATCATAGGTTAGCTCTGGCTGTCCAAAACAAAATTCGTTAAATGATATTGTTGAAATTTTAATCACTTAAAGGAATAAAAATAAGTTCACACTTACGGATCATCATTTTTAAATAAGAAATGGTCTTCAACTAGTTGTTTTCGATCTTCCTCTTTCATATCAGTTAGTGGATAGTAAGTTCCAGCATGTTCACCAGTAAGTCCTTTTAGTGCTCCAGAAATAACTTGCTCTAATTTTATACGATCAGTTTTGCTCATAATTGTTGGGAATAAAAAGCCTTCAACACTACGACCAACACGGACACGTGTAGAGACAATGAATTTACCTAGAAAGAGTGTAAATGAAAAACCGATGTTATACTATTTAAAGTAATGATATATGATGTTAAGACCGGTGAAGCCACCTGAATCCCCCAAACAAATTAAATAAAAAGAGGTTCTAATCTGCAATACGACAACTGAAAGTTCAATACTATAATTATGAAACAACCATTCTCGTACTCCTGAATATAATTTAACTGTAGATCGAAACATCTATTACTAGCTCCAGTCATGAGAATTTAGTGCACTCTCTCTTAGAAATGGAGAGGCATTCAAACGTAGTAATCAGTGGAAATAATATGTTAACACTATTAATCGATATCCTAAGCTTTCGAGCCAGAAACCACAACATTAATCCTGGCAACATAAAAAGTTACATACCAGCTGGATCTAGGTCACCGAATGGAAGCTTTGACAAGTCACCAAATGTGGGCGCAGGGTGTTTAAATGCAGGATCTTTCACGCCGTGATAATCACAGATCAATGGATCTAAGTAATCAATAAACGTCGAATAACATTCAGCTTCCCCGGTTCGTGGACATATTGAACGATTATTGTATGCACCTATAAAAGAAATTTTGAAGAAATTCCTAATAACAACTGTTTGGATAGTAATACAAACCACGAAATTCTACTGTATAAGTAAATCTATTACCAAAAAAAAATGAAATGACCTTTTGCATTCAGCAAATCTATGTAATTCTTAAAACCAAATGAACGTATTAAGTAGTTATCTCGTTTAATTATTAATTACTTAATGAATTGTTTGTAGGTCAGTCACGCAAGTGTACAATTAGTGATTTATATGGTCTTTTCAATATACACACGTAGTTTAAGGTGTGAACCTTTTGAAAAATGATTTTTTATGATTAAATAATGTCTGGGATGATTTTCATGGAACAGTGAATGAAATTAGTGAAATTCTCAATTAAGCTGAAAGTGTAACGCATGACGTGGAAATTTCTTTGATAAAAAGGATTCTTTGTATGAGAGAAATATTTTAAGAGAATAACCATCTGGAGATTAGTGTGCTAAATAGAAATTCATGAGTATATTCAGAAGGCTGTTAGTGTCATTTAGCTAAGCGCATCTTGACAGATAGAAAAGGGGTCAAACCAATGACTCGATGACTGAAGAGCACTATATATATATATGTAGATATATATATATATATATATATATATATATATATATATATATATATATATATATATATATATATATAGATAGATAGATAGATAGATAGATAGATAGATAGATAGATAGATAGATAGATAGATAGATAGATAGATAGATAGATAGATAGATAGATAGATAGATAGATAGATAGATAGATAGATAGATAGATAGATAGATAGATAGATAGATAGATAGATAGATAGATAGATAGATAGATAGATAGATAGATAGATAGATAGATAGATAGATAGATAGATAGATAGATAGATATAGATATATAAGAAAGGTCAAGAAAAATTATAAAATTAAGGGTCAAACAACTGTCACAAATGATACTTAACATTTAAAACGGCAAATTTATGTTAGTGTTAAAAATAAATTATTTTTTAATCATTGAAGTTTCAGAGAAACAGAGTACAATTGTCACAAACATCCAAACTAGTAATAATTTCTACAAAACTGATTAAACTGACTATCTCAAAATGACCACAGTAACCAGTTTACTAAAATTTCCAGTAGTAACAAAATACAATATTATTATACTGCCCCAAAATGTCCCAAGACAGTTCTGATTGAGGTAAGAGAAAATTTGAGGACTTATAGTAACCAGAATCAAATAGTTTAGTGATTAATGAAGTCAACCAGAATTGCCGTTTTATTTACATGAAAACAGATCAGTTGACCTAATGTGAAGCCAATTAAAAATAGCCACATACTCGGTGATTGTTCGAAATTTTTTTTTAAAAAAAGAGCCTCTCCACATTAATTTCATAAAAGCAGCTTACCATTGCGTATCATATGAGCTAGGGTAGCACCGTGGGTTGTTCGTTTTCCATCATACTTTTTAATTATTTCTGGTGTCAAATATTTGCGAGTATAGCATTTTTCGATAGAAGCACCTTCTAGCAGTTTGGCCAGGTAAGTTAATGGTTCAACTGGCATAACGCCCTCTGTAAACAAAATCATACCAAGGAGAGGAATTATTTATGACAGTGACACAACTGTAAGCTCTCAAGAGGTCTATGTGAGTGAACGAAGCTAATACAGATACTTCTCGCTACAAATAGTTAAAGATAAATTTAACATCAGTATGGACGGTAAGATATTTTGTGGTACATGTTTCGTAATTTTAATGTTATTTAGGTTTGGCTAAGTGAATTAACGTTAAGACTGAAAATTTAGCGTATGAGACCAACCCAGTAAATCAAATGTTACTGAGATGTGACAGTGGGGTCTCAGTGGATAATCTGCTAACTTTAGAATTTGCCAACCTAACTGAAATTTAAATGATTTATGAAACAACCGCATATTCGTTGGCTATGTATCTTAAATTAAGCGATTATTTAGTTTCCATGTTCGATCACATACAAGATTAAAGGAGGAGACTAAGAGAACCCCAGAATACGAATTTAATCACAAACAAAGCCGTTGGGTAATACTTGACGGTAGGTAGCACTAAACCCATGTTTACGCCTTGAGCTCATGTATCACTATTTCGAACGATCAAGTATAGCGGCTTCAGTATGAAGCTTACTTGACGAAGCCCATCTATACTTAGGAGCTAATTAGGTTAAAATTGGCTACTACTTGATGACCAAATCCTGTGATCGAGTAATTTACACGATTTCCTTTAGCATCACATAATGCAGAATTTAATGATTATTATTATAGCTAACATGAATGAAATAATACAATAAAATGAATCACAGTGGTACAGATATATTCCTTTTTTATCTTCAACTAAACTCGTAACAAATGATTACTTTCTGCTCTCATATACCATCACTGACAGGGTTCAAAACAGTTATCAAGTAGACAAGATCCGAGACTTTGTTGATATGAACGAGTGAAACCTTAATCTATAACCGACAGTAGAAGCTTTCGTGGTCAATGAACTCATGAGGTTGAGCCATTACACATCAACATAAGGCTAGATTCAAATACTTTCAATTCAAGGACTTCGTTGTCCCAAATGCCCTGGTGGGGAGAGTCCGCTCTCCCTCTCGAAATCCTCTCACATAGCCACGCGTATATAGTCTCTGTCAGAGAAGTTCTACTCACTGCCTTCTCGTTGAGGGGGTGTTGTTTACGGATTTGAGAGGACGAAAAGCGAATGTCCGGCACTTTAACCGGGTTGGTGAACACGGAGAGTCCATCTAGTAGAGCTGGGAAACCCTACCTCCAAACCAATGGTCATATGGGCTCCAGTATCCTGCAGGGACAAATGGCGTATGAACCAATCGTTGGTTACCAGCTACCATGGGACTGCATCTCCTTACATTGCTCCACTGCTTTGTGGATCCGACCTTTAGGTCGAAGGCTCGGGGTATGGATCCCTAAGAAAACCACCTGCTTCGGTTTGGGCACCCGGGTAGTATCACAGCCCTCAAACAAGTCAAATGAGATTTATATGGCACGTATGTATCTGGTGCCCCCTTGTACCAGTATTTATGTGTTCAAATAAATAAATAAATACATAAAGAACTTCGTTCCTACTGTTAGATTTTTGCATCACTGTACTATCCAGAAATGAAGCGACTTGAATAAACTCTGTTAGGTCGGTACATAGATTATTTGGTTTATTTCCAAAAGTCAATATTTGTAAGTGTTTATTCACTTGTTCTCCTTGACTTTCTTTGGCACTGTGGCTGAGCAAGATTTACGGTCTAATATTTGTAGTTCGTATGAGAAAGACGAGTAACATGACAGTATTAACTTTTAGCGCCTACATATTATGAAAACACATGGGGAATATATATATACAGACATATACTTTTTACTAAATACCATTGAAACATACCACTAATACAATGAATAAAAATGCAATTACCTGGAGCACCTTTGTTATATTCTTGTAACATAACTTCAAGTTCAAGTAAAGCTCGAACACCGGAATGCATTTCAGTAACAGCATCAAGCTCAGTAAGACCAAGGCGACGTTTATTACTCAAATCGTAGATACCACCAACTGACTCAGTGTGTTCTCCATGAGTACCACGAGGCTGTATACCATGTTTTTCACAAATTTCCTAAGGATTTTAATTTTTCAGCAGTAAAATCAAAGTATTATTATCAACATTGGTTAAATTAACGGTCGGGTGTAATAAGTTTGTAGAATGGAGTTATAAGCAAACGAAGTTAGATCAGATGAGAAAACCTGGTCTGCTTTGTTCCAGTTTGGGGTTTATTCACAACATTTTGCATAAAAATATGATTATTAAAAAGCCATTCTGAGATAAAAACAAAATTATCATTAAAAATATAAACTGAATGTTTGAAGCATAAAGATCGGATCTGCTGATACTACCGAATCAAGTCCAGATAGTGTTTCGCTAATAGTTTTATGTATACGATGCATACAGGTCCACTCAGAATATTTAACTTGAGCACATTTCAGTCTTAATATAAACCATGAAGGATTTATAAGAGGTGAAACTGTGTTTATTGTTTCAACACAATTTAAAATTTTACTCAGTGAAATTTTTTCGCTGATAATATCTGTGAAAATTTGGTTTATTTGTCATTATAGAATGACTGGCTGAATCGTAATTGGATATATGGCTTCCCTTACAAATGATTATTTTCTGTTTGAAACAAAGGATAATATTAAATTAAATGCCTGCATTACATTTTTACCTCTCATTTAAAAAATAAACTTCCATACAGAAATACAAAGCACTCAGAAACACAATGCTAACTAACCTTGAAATTCGGTAATGAAGCAAGCATAGGGATTTTCGCATGTACACTAGCCCTTAGTGTCGTACCCAAATTAGATGGACAAAATGTGATAAACCCTAAACGATCATTGAATGCAAATTTCAATGATTTGGACAGTTCTTGTATTGCCTGTATAAATTTCAAGAAAACATGAAGGGCAATAGATGATCGAAAATAATTATTGAACACACGCTTAAATCAGTGACACGATTAATTAGTCATATCAGGAGAGAGGTTGATTATGAATACAGTGGTCTTGAGTGCTGTTAGAGGTATGAGGGCGGTTATCACTTCCCGGTTGCCCACACCGTGGAAGGGTTCTTCTGGAGGTACCTGAAAAGGAAATTGGATTAGAGTTGGTCACAGTGACCTGAGAGCGTGACCAGTGCCCAAGGGACGGCTGCTTGACATCAGTCACACGACCTTTTTATGAATAGTTTTTGTGTTAGCTCCGTACTTGTTGAGTCCTTACCGCCGGAGACGGATAACCGTGGGATAAGGCGAGGTGTGCATGTTTAGGGTCGACACTTTCTAACCCCACCTCAACTTGTGGGAAGGCAGCATCGCTGTCATGCTGGTTGTCTGAAGGACACACCTTACTGCTGTCACACCTCTGCACAGTCAGCAGTACGACTTCGCCTTCGGACCTTGGTTTTGTTGCTTTTAGTCTTACCGCTCTTCAACCGACCTGTCTGGCATGGTAGGACCTTGAGGAACGGTTGTTCCAGCCAGTATAGCTCAGTTGCTTCATCACGATAGGCAAGCCCGACCACCACGTCAAGGTAGCAACAACGGTCAGGAATTAGTCATATATTCACATCACGCGTGCTAAGCTATTTGTGATATAAAGTTTTCGAAATCTGTTTGTTATATTATCGAGTTGCTTCTCCCCCCTCATGGAAGATAGTCACTTGAGTTGACTATAAATCTCTTGGGCACAGCTCATTAAATACTTCGCTCTTAACCACTTGGCTAAAGCTTTATAACCCAACTCACTCTAATGCACTGGTTATTCAAACTTTACATTGACATGTCCACTCAAAACTTAACATCAAGGCTATGGCACATGGTTAGAAATAAGGGACTAAGCACATTTAGGTTACGTATGTGGTGAGACAAAGCTTCAGCCTTATCAAGTCAATCGTATCTAAATCCCTGGTAGTATTAATTGGTTAGTATTTTGACCCGTAAGGTGATATGTATGTTATATACAGAGGCACTCAATAGTGTTAGTTGCATACATTTACTATGGAAAAGTATGCCGAAACAGATAAGCATAAGTTTCTACAAAATTGTAAAGTGTTTTTAAGATTTAATCAGCGAGAAGTTCATATTTGTCCTACATTTGGGTCCACCAAATAGACCATTCTGGAATCGTGATTAATATCAAAACCAAACGAAGATTCATAACTATTTTTTTCTATGTTGGTGGTCGGAAAATCTAACAAAGACCGATAAAAAATCCTTGTCTAAAAAAGAGCCCTACAACCGAATAGATAATAAAAACACTGCAGTTATGTACGAATGGATTGAAAGTTCCAGTAAATTTCTTCTACATATCTACAAAAAGAAATAGACCAGCCACGTTGAACCCTTTCCGCCTAGTTAAAAACAAAATATTTGAAATAAAAAAATGAAAATATTCAAACTGTCCTCTGAATCCACATTGCACAGGGCTACCTATTGAGTAAATGTGTTGATAAATAGACTATCAAACCAAGTACCGACCAGAAACTTTACACTTTGTAACTACTCTTATGTTATTTGTCATATATATCTGTGATTAACTTTCCCTGAGCCTTTATTATTCGTCAACTTTGCGTTTTTATCAGTAGGGTTTAAGCTATTAGTTTGAAAGTAAAATTTTGTGTGTATAAAAAGATGAATTATTTGGACGTAAATATAATAAACACTTATAAAACCTACACCAGCCAGTCGTTTGTAAACTGCGATTAAATCACCCCCCTTTTGCATTGAAATGACGCGAATGTGATCCTCTTCGTTAATCCAAACCAAAAAGTTCTTTTGTTTGTTTATGAATATACCGCGACCTGTTGGCCAATCAATGTATCCACCAGCGTCTCTTAGAACGCTATAAAAGCAGTGTTGGAGTTAATAAAGATAAAATAAAGTGACAGTATAGAAACACCATTTTAGTAAATGAATTATTAAAACCAGATCATATGGTGGACCAAAACGAGAACTTGATCAAGATATGATAAAATGCAAAACAAATAACGATAATAAATCAAATAGTGTGCATGGAATTTAATATGTGCATGGGAGATGTTGATTAACAGTTAACCAAATATTTTAAAAAGACTGGTAAAATATTTGTTTTTAGAAAACAAACATTACTTTAGAACACAATTGCGGGAGAAACGGAATATGCGTACATTTTGACTAGCTATCTTATTGTTTCGAGAATTTGATAGACTGAAGGTGTCGTAGGGAATCCAGCTACTTGAAGAAAATGCATACAAGTGTTCTCTAATGCGCAAAAGTAACCACGTTATATGAAAATCAATAAACGTATCCCCTTTTTCAAAGTGTTGACAGATCAAAAGTACAGCTCTGAGTCAAAATGCACATAATCACATCTTAAAAGTAATTGGTTCTCAAATAATTGGATGAAAGTTTCATAACATCATCGAAATAAAATCTCAACATTATAATGAGTAAAGACCTAAGTTTCACTGTGTAGGCAGATATTCATCTTGAAATAAATTACCAAACAAAATGTTTCAAAAACATATTACTTCAGAAAGTTTACGTATCCATTTAATTTTAGTCAAGAACTCTAGTCCTAATATTTCTGACCATTTTTCAGGATCGTTTAAATACTAGTTCATCAGATACTTTGGTATGAGGCATACTTTAAGTTTGAGGTCTAATAATGCTATCCGTTAGTTCGAACAGAAGTAGGCGAGAGGTGGGTTTGAACCCACGACTTGGTGATCAAAAGTCAAACTCTGTAAACACTGAACCGCTGTCTCACAACTTGGATAATAAGACCTTACACTAATTCATGTAGGTCGGATGAATTTACTTATCTTACCTCAAGAACTACGACTGCTTAATCTTCACTAGGTGGTTACCTTTTCATAGCCCTTTGATACATTACTTCAGATATTTCTAGACTATAATTTCAAAGAACGATGATTTGAAGCCACCAACCACTGCGGAAGACTAAGGTTTCCTTGACAAATAGGATTATTGTAGAAACTTCAAAATTGATATTAAAATCAACACAAAAAAGTGATTATACTAGTATACAACATGACAAATACACTTTAGCTACAACATACTTGTCATCGTTTCTGAAAAGAAAATGATCGTTCACTAGTTTGATTCTATCTTCCTCTGACATTCCTGTCAATGGATAATAAGTCCCTTCGTATTCACCAGATAAGTTACGTAGAGCAGTTGAGATCTAAGAACAATAAGGAAATGAATCGATTTTTCATGCCTTAAAATTACGGATTTAGTAGATATAAGGAGTTATACGAGCAGAACTTACTTTATTTTCCAACTCAATTCGAGTTTCTTTGGTTAACGTAGGGCCGAAACCAAATCCCTCAACAGTTCTACCTAGGCGAACTCTAGTAGATACGACTAAATTGCCATAAGCATTTAGATCCGTAAACGATAGACTCTTGAGGTCACCAAAATCTGACTTTGGATGTTGGATTTTGCCATCTGCCACCTGAAAAAGACATTCGGTTAATACTGAGGACGACGATGGATACGTGAGCAAAAACCATTATTAAGGGTAAAAGATAAAACTGAACAAACCTTATGATAATCTGCAATCACGGCGTCGAAGAAATCCCTGAAAGACTCATATGCATTTAAATCACATGATCTTGGCAGCAAAGCTCCAGGGTTATAAGCATCTGCAATTTAAATGGTACACACTCGTAAGTTACGTAAATTAAATAAACGTACTAGGAATAAAGAAAAAACTTTATAACTCAACTAGATGTGGGATTACAACACAAAAGACAGTGAATGCTTGTAAGATAGCGCGCTAAGAACTAATTATTAAAAGTATACAAGGTATACAAGGGATTTACTCCGGGTTATTGATAAACAGGCCCTCCTCAATTGTACGAACGATTTTAGCCCATACCTATGGTTTTAATTAATAATGAGACGCTTCCACTATGCATTCTCCTGACTGTAGTTAAGACAAGCAATCCAGAAGTGAGTTATACGCCCGTGAAAAGACTGAAGATCAGAACACTACTCGAGATTTAACACTGATAACCATCAGTTAAAATAATATCAAAAGCTCTTCAAATATATATGCCTTGGAAAAAATTACCCTGGAGTAACGGGTTCTTTCGATAATTTATTACAAAACGAAATAGCAGAAATCATGTGGAAGTGGTTGGCCAGTGAATCAGTTTCGCTCAATCAGAAATGAAAATGTTCCATACCACTCAAGCATAGTTGCTAATAACTAAATTTACGACTTTTCTGAGATCCAAGTCTTTAACTTATATTGCAGATAGAAATACGAATAAACAAAGTAAAAAGACGCGATTTTCAGTCAAAAAAGCTCTCACTTGTATTCACACATTGAGCTAGAGTCCCACCCAAACTCGTTTTTGTTGCTTGATATTTGTTGACAATATCATTAGTTAAGTATTTTTTTGTCAGTGAGTGGTTGCGTTCATCACTTCTAATTTTGGCTTGGAGATTGTGGAGGCTTTCAACCTGCATGTTGATTGTGCACAGAGAACAGATTTCACGAGAAACAAGTACCACCTGGATAAGTCGTACAACTTTTATAAATGTACAAGTACATGTCATATGTTTTCAAGTCAATTAGCTTAGTAAAACAAATTCAGCCTACATTGATAGTGGTGCTTTATATCGGCGAGTAAATTTGCAAAAACATGTTTGAACGGATGAAAGATTAGTTTTGTAGGAATACTCTAATTTTTGATGGAGTTGAAAGCTGTAACGCTAAATATATGTAGAACACGAAGGTAAAATAAAAACCAACAGAACATATTGCAATACACAGATCTACTTTTCAGCACCTTATAAGATTCTTCGTAAGGTTCATCATCGTATCGAAGTAACGAATCACAAACGTGTGTTTCTCTTTTAAGTGATTAGAATAAGTGCATATATTGACTTGTAGTGACCTACTTTTGTCAACAGAACGCGATTGGTTCGATGAAAACAATTATTATTATAACCAATTGTACCAGTGACTGTTTTACTGTGCTCGTTTGTTTAACTGTGCTAATTACAGCCATTTTGGGCTTCCATTGTATTCCATTGCTTTTACGCGGTTTTTGGACTACGCACGTATCTTATCTTGCCGTTCGCAACTGTACTCCTTTGGCACGATCTCGGTATTCTTTCGATACCACGAGATCGCCAACAAATATATACGACTACTACAATCATCTGTCTTCTGATTATTTTGGCCTACCGGAATTTTATTGGTCAATTGGCACGTAGTCTTGTAGCGGTGTTCATAGTCAAGCTCAACTCGACACCACGCTACATTTGGTGAGCAAAATTTCGGAACACGCCTCACCTTCGGTCAAATCTTCTGCAACTGGTGAACCTTCATCTACGACCACTTGGCAATCGCAACCAAACCTTCCAAAGAAGTCAATTTTGGTGAGTCTATCGCTTATCTATCCACGTCTGTCATATATTTTCATATTAATTTTTAATATATATTTGACATGACGGATAACGATAAGAATAGTATTAACGTAATAGACTCTGACGTACAGGTTATACACTTTCGACCTGTATCTTTTATTCCTCACGATCCCGAAGTTTGGTTTGCTGCTATAGAGTCTCAATTTGAGACCCGTCATATTACAAGCCAACGGCAGAAGTACACTTACGCTCTCGAATGTTTACCGGGAGACCATTTAGTAGCTGTCCGTGAGGTTGTCCTCAATTCCAATGTGCCTAATGTTTACGATCGTCTAAAGGAGGCGATCCTCAGACATTTCCTCCCATCGAGGGAGGAACGATTGAGGACGTTATTAGCACGTCACCCCCTGGGTGATGCTAAACCGAGCCACCACCTCACGCGCCTGCAATCTCTTGCAAGACCCACGGCAGCTGATTCTGAAATTGTTAAAGAACTGTGGCTCGAATCCCTACCAGCATTTATCCAACCTACAGTCACGGCCCTGCTCGAGGACGCACCACTGAAACAGGTAGCCCTCACAGCAGACAAAATTCTAGCTAGGACTGGCAACCGAGACAACTACATAGTTGCCTCAACGTCGCGTCCGAAAGTCGATATCGACGGCAGCCACTCCTCGAGTCAAGGTGACAGGGAAGGGTTTATTCACACACGTCTTAGTTTTCGAGACCGTTGTAACGTACCCCAACCCTACGTCCCTCGAGTCCGCTCACGCTCCCGAAAAGCCGTCAACACTCGCCCAACGAGGGCATCTTCCAAGCCACGCCAAAAGGCGGCTTCGGAAGCGAGTGCAGGTTGGTGCTGGTTTCATCGATCCTTCGGATCTGGTGCCCGCCGTTGTCGAGCCCCGTGCTCATACAAGGCGGGAAACTCCAAAGCCGGCGAGTAAAAGCGGCCGTACTCGCCGGCCCTGCCCCCCAGGTTGGCCGTTTATTTTACGTGCACGATTATCGCACAAACGCTAGGTACCTAGTGGATACAGGTGCCCAAGTTTCTGTCGTACCACGAGGTAGCATCAAGTCACAAGCTACAATGCTTCGACTACGCGCTGCAAATGGCTCAGCCATTCCTACCTACGGTACACGACAACTCGCGGTCAACCTGGGCAACCGACGACGGTATCTGTGGACGTTCATCATTGCTGATGTTCCCACAGCCATACTAGGTATTGATTTCCTACAGCACTATGAATTGCTAGTCGATTCACGTAGGCTGCAGCTAATCGATACTTCGTCGAACAGTAAATTCATGGGCTTTAAAGCTCACACAAACGCGTACCGAATCCTCGGCACTTTTTGTTCGCGTGACGATAAATTCCACGCCTTATTCGAGAAATTCCCCAGAATAACTAAACCACTCGAGGAGATTTCATCGGTGACCAATCGTGTGGTACACCACATAGTCACCCGCGGACCACCAGTCACGGCAAGACCACGCCGACTGGCACCGGACAAGTTAGCCTTCGCTAAACGTGAGTTTGACAATTTACTATCTGCTGGTATTATTCGTCCTTCTCACAGTCCTTGGGCCTCTCCTTTACACATGGTGCGCAAAAAGGATGGGGTTAGTTGGAGACCTTGCGGCGACTACCGAGCATTAAACGTAGTTACGCGCTTTGATAGCTACCCCATCCCCCACATACACGACATCACGGCATCGCTCAAGGGCACGACTATCTTTTCTAAAATCGATCTGGTACGAGCATATCACCAGATCCCAGTCGCTCTTGAAGACATCGAAAAAACTGCTATCACGACTCCTTTCGGTCTGTTTGAGTTCCTACGAATGCCATTTGGATTACGAAATGCTGCTCAAACTTTTCAAAGGTTTATCGATAGCATAGTACGAGACTTGGATTTTGTTCACGTCTATATTGATGACCTGCTGATCGCATCATCAAACGTAGATGAACATTATCAACACCTTACGCTATTATTCCAACGTCTTTCGGATAATGGAATAGTAGTCAACCCAGAGAAATGTGAGTTGGGTAAATCAGAAATAATATTTCTGGGTCACATCATCAGACGAGAGGGTATTCTGCCTTGCGAGGACAAAATTCGAGCAATCAAGGAGTACAACGGGCCGTCCTCACTCAAGGAACTGAAGGCTTTTCTCGGTTTGGTTAACTTCTACCGACGTTTCATCCCTCACGCGGCAGAACGGTTACGACCATTAACCGATTTACTACGCGGTAATCCACGCAAATTAGAATTGAACGATACCGCACGTACTGCATTCTCAGAGATCAAAACGGCTCTCGCTGAAGTTACACTCCTCGCTCATCCTGACCCATCAGCCACGCTTAGTATAGCGGTTGATGCATCAGATTTCGCTATAGGAGCCGTTATGCAACAGAATATCTCCGGTAGTTGGCAACCCCTTGAATTTTTCTCACGACGCCTTACTCCCACGGAGACGAGATATAGCGCTTTTGGTCGCGAGCTGCTTGCAGCCTACTGCGCCATCAAACATTTCCGGCACTCAGTAGAAAGACGTCAATTCATTTTATTCACCGACCATAAGCCCTTAACGTATGCCCTGCATACCAAGTCTGACCGCTACTCACCACGAGAGTGCAGACATTTGGACTATATCTCCCAGTTCACGACAGACCTTCGTCACATTAAAGGCGAGTCGAACTATGTTGCCGATGCTCTTTCACGTATCCAGACGAATGCAGTTACTTTACCGGTGCTCGATTTTCCTGCTATGGCCGCCGCGCAGGCAAACGATCCTGTCTGTACAGAAGCACCACAATCTTCGTCCCTTCAGTGTCAGGAAGTACCCCTAGCTACTAGCTCAGGTACTATCCTATGTGATATTTCTACCGGTCTACCTCGACCCATCGTACCCTCTACCTATCGCCGTCTCGTCTTCGATGCCCTTCATGGATTGTCTCATCCAGGTATCGCAGCCACATTACGTCTCATCGCTGCACGATACGTCTGGCCGTCCATGAATAAAGATGTTCGTATGTGGGTAAAGCAATGCTTACAGTGTCAACGATCAAACGTGCACAGGCACGTAGCTGCCCCCATTGGCACGTTCGCTACGCCTGATGCTCGCTTTGATCACGTTCATATAGACATTGTAGGACCATTGCCACCATCGCATGGGTATGATCACATACTCACGTGCATTGACCGCTTTACAAGATGGCCCGAAGCTATTCCCATCACGTCTATCACGGCGGAGACAGTTGCTCACCGCTTCGTAGAACGATGGATAGCATTGTACGGTTGTCCTTCGACTGTCACGACTGACCGAGGACAACAATTTGAGTCCGCATTATTCTCCTCACTGACCAGGCTGCTTGGTACGGAACGCATACGCACTACCGCCTACCATCCAGCATCGAATGGTTTAGTCGAAAGGTTTCATTGCCAACTTAAAAGTGCTCTCCGAGCACACGAAAACGACAATTGGTACGAAACCTTATCGCTCGTTCTCTTAGGCATCAGAACGAGTTTGAAGGCAGATATTCAATGTTCCGCCGCTAGACTTGTATACGGCACGACATTGCGTCTGCCTAGGGAATTCTTAACACCACGGAGCAGTAATGATTTCGGTAAATCAGACTACGTCCATCGACTGTCTGCATTTATGCGAACGCTGTCTCCGGTGTCAACTCGAATACAACATCGACAGGTCGCTCTCCCTCGAGAGTTATCTACCTGTTCACATGTTTTCATACGAGTAGATTCGGTACGCAAACCTCTACAACAGCCTTACGAAGGCCCTTTTCACGTGATCTCTCGTCACGAAAAGACCTTCAAGGTTGATCGACACGGCCGCGTCGAGATCGTCAGCATTGATCGTCTCAAACCAGCACACGTCGATGACCGTGCCCTACCCGATAACTTGAGACTCAATGCTAGACCTATCAAACCTACTAGCGGGATCTCTACGTCTACCTCGGATCCCACGCTAGATAAATCAGAGACCTCGTTCTCACGTCCCGGTCAACAGCACGCGTCATCTGCACCATCTACGGACGAGACTTCCGTCTCACGTCCAGATCGGCAGACCACGCCGCCCTTGACCTCGGATGAGATCGCAGGCTCACGAAGTACGAACGAGACTACCGTCTCACGTTCCGGTCGCCG